CCGCGGAGTCCCCGGGCGGAGCACGTCGGAAAAGCAGATCCCCGACGCTGAAGCTGCCAAAAGCAGCCGCGCTCCCAGGCGACCGGGCGGCGGGAGCTTCCCAGTCCCGCCGCCCGCGCGAAAACGTGCAAGTCCTGCTTTCCCCGTCACACTTGCAGGACGGTTCGCAGTGTGCAGGTGCCGGCTCATCTAGCCACTGTCCGCGAAGGGGAACGTTTAGTTCATTTTCGTTTTTCCGTGGTCGGTAGTGAGTGGGGGATTAAGGACTCCTCAGTGCAATCCATGGGGCGATCCCAAGTGGTAGATTGTGTTTCTTCTTCTAATAACTTAGTGGGGGCGAGGGGGAGCCACGTCCCTTATTGCAGCTGGAGCTACACGTTGGAATCCCCTGTCCAGAGGACTGACAGTGGGCATCAAAAGATTTTAAAATATATAGAACATTAGGCCCAGCGTTTCCACTGTTAAAATTTATAATAAAAAGATTGTGGACGTGTGAAAAGCCTCAGGAATGTGCATCTCAGGGACCCTAGGTGGTTCAGTCCCTTAACCATCTGCCTTCAGCTCAGGTGGGGATCAAGTCTCGTGTCAGGCTCCCCGCCCAGCCTGCTTCTCTCTCTCCCTCTGCCTGCCTGCCACTTCCCCTGCTTGTGCTCTCTCCCTCTGACAAATAAATAAAATCTTAAGGGAAAAAAAAAGTACATCTGAGCAGTGTTAACTGCAGGGGAAAATGGGAAACAAATTATTCTGAAACGAGTTATTTGTTAAATGCCCTTTTTGGCATGCACATGAGAAATACTAAAAGGTCATTGAAAATAATACTGTGAAATGTTTACAGTATAGATAAGTGTTCTTGGCCTATCTGTAAGTTAAAGATCACACAAGGTATGTACATGGACATCCCACTGTGTAAAAGACTAAGTAGATACAATCAAATACAAATAATAATCATGTCTAGTGGAATGTCAGCATCACTCAGTGTTCAGCACTGCCCTGGTTATAACCCTGGCTCCGGTGACCACCTGGGTACTTTGGGCAAGCACCTTCATCTGTAAAACAGGCATAGTATCAGTTTCCTTTACTTTATTATTTGTTTTTAAAATATTTTATTTATTTGAGAGAGAGAGCATGAGCGAGGAGAAGGTCAGAGTGAGAAGCAGACTTCCCGTGGAGCTGGGAGCCCAATGCGGGACTCGATCCCGAGACTCCAGGATCATGACCTGAGCTGAAGGCAGTCGCTTAACCAAGTGAGCCACCCAGGCACCCAGTTTCCTTTACTTTAAAACTAGGCTCTTTTCTACTTGAAAAAAACTATTCCACTTAGACGGTTATAAATACAAAATCAGTTGTTTGTAAGCACTTGGAGCAATGCATGGCATTTAACTGAGTGGTACATAAGCAATTTAACAAAGCAGTGAAATTTGATGTCTTTTATTTTTTCGAATTTTCTAAAATAAATATGTATTACTCTTGTAGCCAGATTTTTTTTTTTTAAGTTAAAAAATATCCAAGATTAGCATCTGACCCTTGATGTCAACTCAGGTCTTGATCTCAGGGCTGTGAGTTCAAGCCCTGCGTTGGACTACACCCCAGGTGGGGAGCATACTTAGAAAAAAAAAAAAAATGAAGTCAATTAATATGCACTGAAACTTGACAAAATGTTTCAAATGTTGAGGAGAAATAACAAAATACTAAAACAGAAGAGTAATAAGGAAGACCTAGCTCTACCAACTATTAAAACCTACTATGATAGTTCAAATTGTCACTATAGGGAGACATTGAAATAGAATAAGAATTTAAGTATAAAATAACTTTAATATGTGATGTAGGAGACATCGTAACTTGAGAGTGGGAAGGAAGCCAATAACTGTATTGGGAGAACTGGTTAATAATTTGAAAATAAGCTATTTAGTCTTCCTACCCTTTCACTTCCTACCCTTTCACAAATTAAAGGCAGAGTGGATTAAGGACTTAACTGTGAAACCAGGTAATAACCAAAATGAAAGAATTGAAACTGAGTATCTAACATCTGAAAGGAGAATATAAACCTAGAAGCAATAAAAAATCACAAAAAGTCAACAGATGTATCTATATAAAGATTTTATGTTTGTAAAAAAAAATCAATTTTTTAAAAACAGAAGTTGATAAAATATGGTTAAGTTGTTATATTTAAAATATAACCGAAAAGACCTCCACCTTCAGTGTATCAACAGGCAAAGAAACTGAGTAAGCAAAGAGGAAATATATCTAGTTAATGAACATGGAAAGAATCTTTAAGCTCACTATTAATGGGGGAGAAAAGCTAATCGCAAACTATTAACTTTAAAGTATCGTTTTACCTTATCAAATACCATTTTTCAAATGTTATTACACCCAATTCTGGCAAAGGTAGCATGGAAAAGGTCCTCTCCTACAGTGCTGGTGAAATTATAACTCAGAACAACCCTTATGGAAAGCAATTTGACAATCTAAAAAAACTTCTGCAGAAGACTCCTAGATTCCCAGTAATCTGACTCCTGGGAATCTGACTCTAAAGAAATAACCCCAAGATACAAAAATATGGTGGGGGGGCAGGACAGGGAGGGTGTATGGGTGAAATTTAGGGAACTACATAATCTAGAACACTTATTGACATGTTAATTATATTAGCTCCAAGTAGGAGTCAATTAATTACCCCAAAATTGGACAATGATAGAGCTGCTAAATGGCAATCTTAAAAAACAATGGTTATGAAGACTCTGTAGCAATATGGGAAGCGATTATATAACATTAATTGAAAAAGGATTATCAAATTTTATGTGTAGGTATGATATAACAACCAGGGACGCAATATTCCAGGAGCAGGCCCCACCCCCACCTCCATGGCTTTTCAGGTGCTCATGTCTTGCTGGAAAATCCCTTTTCTCCTCCATCTACCTGGACTTCTTTCCATCTCCACTCCCCTCGCTACACACTCTATCTAGCCTCTCACTGTGACAATTAAGGCAGTCTCCCAGTTGGGCTCATTGCCTTCAGCTTCTCTGCAGTCAAATGATCTTCGATAGAAACAAATCAAATTGTACCACTCTCCCCAGAATCAGTGGCTTCCAGGAAGTTAAGGATAAAGTCCTAAAATACTTAACATGCTAAAAATACCACGCCTGATATCCTGCATCATCTCCAACATCTCCACCCGTTCTCTGAGCTCCAGCCACAAAGGCCTTTACCTTTCTCCATCCCACTGTCCTTCCCCTCCTTCTCTCCTTCCCTCCTTCCTTCACCTCTCTCCTGCCCATTTTTTGTCCAGGGCTTCCCCCACTGACACACTGGACCTCCTTTTATGGAATGGTGGCCTGCCTGTATGACCTTGCCATACCCTTTGGCCCTAGTGCTATGGGCAGCAGGATGCCCTCACTGGGTGTCTCTACTCCCAGTCAGTATCTCCAGTCCTCCTGCTGCTTAACTGCTTCCCTGGCCACCCCCATGACTGAGGTCCCAGCACACTCAACACCCAGCCAGCCCCATTCAGACACAGGACACCAGGGAGGCAGCTTCTATAACTGTCGAGGTGAGAGGTCACAGGGATCTAAACTAAGAAAAGGGTGACAAGAACACAAGAGATCCGTGAGCAGACCAGTAACCCATGACTTCAGGTGGCCTCACTGAAGCGTGAATCCCAAGCCTCACGGCCATATTGTCAAGCCCAGGCTCAAATATGCAAGAAGGTAAATGAAAATTGGAACCATGATAATAAGTTTGGGAAGCATAATATTACCTGCTCAACTGCTAATACCAATGGAACAGATTTCAGCCTGGACAGATCAGCAGTCAAGGGTTTAGGCAAGTTCCCTAACGTCTAGGGATATAACCCCACTTCACAGGGCCAGGACTCCTCTGGCCCCCGTGTCCAAGGTCCTTCTGTAGGTCAAGAAGCAAAGGATGGTGGATGGGGGGCAGGTGGAGAACGTAAGCTTGACTTTCCACAGCCCTGGATTTAAATCCTGGCTGTGCCACTTATTAGCTGTGACTCTGGGGAAATTGCCTTAACCTCTCCAGAGCCCCTTTCCTCCCCTGTAGTATACATGTGGAAGGAGAATAACCCAGTGAAGATTATAGAGTTTGAAATCGGACTGCCTGGGTTGAAATTCCTCTCCTCTATATACTACAGATGGAGCCTCTAAGTTTCAAAATCATATGAAATTTAAAAATGAGAATAATCACACATACCTCCCGGGATTGTTGGGACAGTTAAGTAAGAGGTTGCAAGCTCTTAGCAAGTACAGGTTTCCCCCACTATCGAAAAAGTACAGCATTCCTACAAACCCTGTGAGAGGCAGTGAGGAAGCACTCACCATTAATTTCCATGGGGAAATGAGCGTTCTCTTAGGCTTTTCTGAAACCTTAGGGCACATCTTGCTAACACGTGCACAAAATCCATTGCAGTAAAGCACAGATGCTCCCAGACACAGTTCAAAGCTCTAGGGGCTTGATGATTGGGTACAGTTCCCAAGGAAGGAGATGGGTGGGGTCCCTCTCACCACTTGGGGTGCACACAAATGCTGAATGCTGTTTTCTTTTTTCTTTTGCCTTATTATCACAAAAATGAAAACCCTCTAAAGATTTCTTTTGATTAGAAAAAAACAGGTACTAAGGTAGGTCTTTCATAAAAGCCAAGTATTATAACATAAACTTTTGAAAAATGGGGGATATGGGCGCTCGCACCAGGAAGCAGGTCAGTGGCTAAGTTACCATCATGGAAAGCATCTAGTGCTGTGTTTGATATATTAGGAGACTCAATAATTGTTAGTTCACCACCACCCTATCTTGTCCCTGAGGCCAGCAGGATCCGAATGTCACCAAGTCTCTGCCCCATTTGACTCCACGTCCCATATCAGATCTGAGTGCGGGAACACTACCCAGCAAGGCGATGATCATGATCAAAAAGACGCGGCTTCCTTCTTATAGGATCATTGCTCAGCTGGAAGACTGCTGACACCTGACATGACCCAGTCAATGCACAGGAATCCTTTTCTGAAGGTTTACTCACTCATAAAAAGTTCTCAAAGTACAAAACAACAAAAACAAAGGTTTTATCGAAATGTGGCCTGGCAGAGTAAGCCTGCAAGGTGGGGACCAGCCACCTGGAAAGACCCTAGGCCTCCCTGAGAACAGCATCCCCATCAGACAGCAGCCAGGGAGGTCAGGAGACAGGAAGCCCCGCAATGTTGCAGAGAACCAGAGGAGGAATAAAGAACTGGCAGCTCTGGGGAAGGAAAAGGGCACAGAGGGAACAAGGAGGTTTGAACAGGAGAGCAAAGGCTACAGCTCAGAGCCCTGGCGGTAGGGGGCAGGTGAGGGAGGAAGGCAGGATATACAAGGACAGGGGAAAGCATGCAGATGAGGGCCATTCCCCAAGTGTACACCAAGACCAAGTTCAATTCCACTGCCTGCCTCTAGAAACAAGGCTGCCATTCAGGGCAAGGGCCACGGTGGAAAGGTCTAGGAGATCTACACTCACATCCAGGGAGGGCCCCTCCAGGAGCCACAGCGTGGGGCGCCATTGGTCATGTCACGGTCATGGATTTGACTTTAGCAGTGCTTATTCCAAGAGTATTCTGGGGCAGCAGGAGGAAGAACCAGGGAAGGCTTGGTGGACTGCTTCCTTCAACTCCAGAGTAGATGTTGACGGATCACAGTCTCAGCAGCGCTGGTGGCCTCAGAGACGCTTCACGCCCACTCACCTCAGTCATCCTAGGGGTTAAGGGAAGAGAAGTGAACAAAGTGCATTTCATAAAAGTCTTCTACAAGTCCAACAAGGGTCCCACTGAGGGGTACCAATGGAGCCTTCAGCCACCTTTCTTGGTTTCACCTTGTTCGAGCGGACCAGGGAGCTGGCCTGGCAGCTCCAATCATGTTTCATTCCGAGACTCACTTTACTACGACAAAGAGGAATCCAGACCCTCCATTCTTCCTTCCCTGCTTTCTCCGGAGAATGTCATTATCAGTATCACCTAGATAAATAGCCCATCTCTCTGGGACTTTGTTTTAAATGTTCAATTTGGGGCCTTTTGACATCAATTCAAATCTTCAGGTGAAATAAGCTTGAGAAAAACACATCCACTGTGGATGGACTGAAGATCAACTAGGGGCTGACCTTTGGCATGCGTGCGTGCACACACACACACACACACACACACACACACACACACACACACACACAACAACCTAGTGAGGACCAAGCCAGCCATCTTCCAGCCACTTTGGGCAGGGAGCCCAGAACGAAGGAGGGGAAAAAAAAAAAAAAACAAAAAAAAAAAACTCATTCAGCTCAGCTGCCACAACATGGCTAATGTATTCACTTGAAGTGAAAATGTTTGGAGATCCAACGGCATCAGGTTTCACTGGTTCCCCTCCATGGTCCATTTTTTTCCATCCCTTGCTTTTATTAATCTTTGGGACTTTCTTGTAGATTGGCACAGCTCAGACCCACCAAAAAAGAAAGGTCTCGAGTGGTCACCCTTCACTCCTTGAAAAGAATTTTCCTGGGGCTGACTCATTCTTGGGAATCCCGTGGAATTCCACCAAAGCTGGGGGCCTACAATGTACGCTGCCGTGTCCTTGTCCTACACACAACCTCAGCCCCTACAGACAAAATTCCTGTCGAGAGATAAACTGTACCAACGCCGGGCCCACGGTCATCGCTCGTGACCTACCCACTCCTCGTCCTCGGCCCCGTCCCCCTGCTCTCGGGTCTCCTCCACGGCTCCCGCCGAAGACTTCTGTGCCATAATGTTGTCTGTCCAGGATGCCCCTGTCTTTCCATCACCAGCAAAATTACACTTGGTCACTGTTCCAGCCTCAAGTTTGGCTAAGGACTCTGAAAGAAGGGAAGAAGTTGAATGGCCCCGTCTCCCTATTTTGGAAACATATTGGGGGCTGGCCTGATCTGCTGGGGTCCCCTAGGCCCGGGTTAAACCACTGTTCTCTCAGACCTGGGTACCCTCGGGGAGGCCCTGAGTGTGATCTCTAGGTGCTAGACAGGAGACATCACCCACAGGAACCATGGGATGGGGTGGCTCCCCCAGGATCCAGAGTGTTTAGGCTGTTGGCCCCAGGGCACTTGTCCAGACACTTAGGAACAGATCTCAGGACTAAGCAGACCTGGCCTGCTCCCATGAGCTCTGAGCAGGAGGGGTAGGGGAGCCTCAGACAGAAGGCCAAGAGCCTCTACAGGCCATGGGAACATGCTCACCCAGGAAGGGGCCGTCGCCTCGAGTTTTCAGCCGTACCCCGGCCCCCAGCTCCAGCTCCAAGGCCTCCATCTCCGACTCGGGCATCCAGAACGCCACTGTCTGGTCGGGGGTAAGGCTCTCTGTCAGCGCAAGCAGCTCTGGCTTTTGTACCAGTGCCTTCAGGGCCTCGGGCGTGAGCCTGTCGGTGTCCCCCATCGCCTCCACCTCTGCAGGCACACAGCATGAGAAGGTCGTTACTGCTGGAGTGGCAAGCACGCAGGAGGGCCTTTCGGGAGCCAGGTGAGGCCGGAGGGCTCTATACACACGGAACCACCTGAAGCGAGGGCTCCGAGTCCCCATGGTGCCAGGACTCACCGAGGGCTTCCTGGCAGAGGAGGTATGGGCGTGGGCCCCGGAGCCAGGCTGCCTGGTGCCGATCTGTTTGCAAGCCATGTGAACTCGGGCAGGTGACTTAACCTCCCTGGGCCTGACAGGTGGGGATAAAAACGGTACCCACCTGCTAGGGCGGACGTGAGGTGTACATGAAGTAACACACGGAAAGCAGTCAGCACGGTGCCTGGCATGCAGGAAACCCTCAATGCAAGTAAATGTCTTAATTATGCCTTTTTGACACAGGAGAAAATGAAGGCTTAGGGAGGTCAGGTGAGTTGCCCCAGGTCACACAGCTAGTCAGGGAAAGAGGCAGAATGCAAAGCCTCCACACGTGCCTCCCCATGGAGGCCGCAGTGATGAGCCAGGGTTCTCTCCCGGGTCTCGGGGGCTCCTGGTAGGGCTGGAGCTGCTGGAATGAATAGCCAACCATGGCGGTGCCCGTCCTCCCCCTTGGCCTACTCATCCCAGTCCTGGCAAAGCTCAAGGCTCAGGGAGAATTCCAACAGGCTCACCTGCCAGCCCTGAATGTCCCAAATCTGGAGATCCCGGGTTGGGGACCAGGGCATGGGGGGTGGGCAGCGGTGTCCCAGACTGAGAAGTGAGGACTCGCAAGGCCCTGAGACCTCACAAAGGTGTGCACAGCCACCCCCCAGCTCAGCGACCCAAAACTGTCCGCAGGTGGCCCTCTCCATGCCAACAGAAGCCAACAGATGGGGGCAGGGCTTCGGCTGGAGAGAGCAGCCAGCTGGCCCATGGAGCCCACACTGCGTTCCATTCAGGGTGTAAAACCTCCAAGATCCGTCAGGAACGCTTTTTGGGGTTCCCCCACATACCTCACTCCCACCAAGGGCTTTCAAACTGCTCCCTACTCCTCAGCCCTCGCTCTGCTCAATGTCCCTGAGGAACCAAACCACCTCACCTCCACTTCCCAAGAACCCCCTAATACCACCTGCCTGTCAATCTACTGATAAGCACATGAAACCTCTCCTCCTCCCTTCTGTTTCCATCTCAAAGGACCATGGGTCCCCCTCCGGCCTCTAGCCAGCTCCCCCAGATCTGGGCTCCAGATCCCATCCACTCCCCCTCCTCGGGGACCAGGCTCTCCTTCTCCCTACCAAATCTTTCCTCAATGCCCTCCTGAATTCTGGCTTTGACACCCACTACTTCAGAAGCCCCTACCCCCACACCGACTAGGGTCACTGGGAGCTCTTCACTGTGAGCCCACTGGAGGCTCAGTGGCCCCCACTTTCCTGGGGCTGAGACAGCACCTGACCTCATCACTACCTCACCCCCACCTTCACTGGGCCTCAGAGACACACAGGCTTCCCCCCCAACCCCAGCCTCTGCAGAGGTCCCTCTCCTGCCTTTACAGGCTCCTTCCCTGTTCTCCCGGGTTGCTCTTCCCCAAGACGGCCTTCTGGGCAACTCCATCCACTTTCCTAGCTTCAGGACCGGCAATGCATAACAACTTCTGAACATGTGCCTCCAGCCCAGCCTGCTTCCTGCGTTCTAGAACTGTGGCCCCAAGGCCCCAGTGCACTTGCAGGCCCCTCTACCTGAAACTGCGACCACAGTTTCCCACAGGTCCACAGGTCCCAGACAGAACGCTTCTCCCCACACCCGCAGCCAAACCCAAACCCGGGGGGTCGTCCCTGATTCCTCCTTCACTCTCCTTGTCTCGAAGCACTGAGGCCACGGTCCCTCCTCTGTCTCCAATCTATCCAGTCTCTCCATCCCCACCCACAGGCCCTTAATTCAGCCACCACAGCCTCCTAACAGGCCTGCTGGTCTCCCCTCGGGGATTGTTAAAAAGCGTTCTAATCATGTCGCTCTCCTACTAAAAACTACCCATGACAGGGCTCCCCTGAACCCTTGGGTGAGTGTCCCTTCTGGGGCCCTTCTCGACCTGGCCCCTGCGTCCCTAGATGCTTCTCCTCCCCCTGCATCAGGGGCCCCCAGCTCCCAGCATGCCTTGGTACACAGCCCCCTCCTGAAACGCCCTTCCCAGCCCTGGCACCCTGCTGACTCCTGCTTTTCCTTCAGCATTTGGTCCTGCTGTCCCCTCCTCCAGGGCAGCCCCTGACCATGCCTGCCTGGGCTCCAGTCCCGGGCCCGTCCATCTCTGCTACCAGACTGAGGACATCTCGAGTGCAGGTCCGAGTCGTGTTCGTCCAGGGACGAACAGGCAGCTCCACACGCGGCTCAGGGCCTGGTCCAGCACAGATGCTCATTAAATAATCAGAGAATGAACGGACAACTGAGAGCACGAATGAGTAAACCGACAGAGGCACGGATGGATGGATTCTCATTCAACCTTAAAACCTTCTTCCACAGGGGCAGACAGCAAAGACGTCCTTGTAGAGCCAAAACTGGAAAGAGGAATGAAGTCACAAAGGGCCTAAGAATCCCATGGGAATTTGGGCAGGAAAATGGAGCCTGGGCACAAAGACAGCGAGAGCCCAGAGTACACTGTACACGGACGACTCTGCCAGACTCCAGGAGTCGGCAGGAGGTGGGAGGCCAGCCAGGCCCTGAGGATTGAGGTGGGGCCCTAGGGATCCTCTGAGTGAAAGTGGGGGCAGGAAGGAGTCCAGCCAGGGGTCCTCAGGCCAGAAATGGGCTTCAAGGCCAGCCACACTGAGAAGACACTCACTAGGGCCAAGGGACCCCCTAGAGACACAGAAAGGCCACAGGCTCAGGAGGCCCTGAGGGAGGAATGATGGAGGATACCTACTGTAGGACGACATGAGGAAGCCCGTGTTGACCTTCCTGGTGGCGCTGAAGTTGGGCTCAACCTCATTTCCCTTGGGGTCGAACTTCCGGCGATGGATGCGACTGGGCCTGATGTACAGCACGTAGTAGCGCTCCTGGGGCCAGAGAGAGAGTGGGGGGCTGCTTCCCTCCCCCCTCCCTCCAACACACACACTCCCCACAGGGCTCCACAGCAAACCGCCCCCTAACATCTCCCTCCATCCTGAATCCCACCTCAGTGCTGAAAGATACTCAAGCTTGGGCAGATGCCACCCCCCCAGCATAGTCATTCATTCATCTAATCGTGTGCTTAGCACAGCACCTGCCACACAAAATGAACCACGTAGACAGCCGTGAGATGGCAGGCCCCGTGCCTGACCCCAAGGTCTCCACCCAGCCAGAGACAGAAAACACAGACAAAAAACCATAACCCAAGCGCCAAGGACCCCAAATACTGCAACGGGGGAGTGAGAAACCCAAGTGTCGTGGAAAGGGCACTGTAAGGGAGTTTTGAGTGAGGGTAGCCATAGTGCCTCTTCCAACACATGTGGGACCTGGGGCAAATCCCTCCCAGCCTCAGTTTCCCCTGTGGCATGGGGACAATGCACCGTCTACTTTCAGGAATGTTGCAAAGGTTCAAGGAGATGACAGAGGAGGCAGCACGGTGGAAAACACGGAGGGTGCTGTCAATGCTGCTTGCCAGCTGCTCTAAGCCAAACAGGCAGATAACCCCCCCCCCCCCCCCCAGAGACTGGAGAAGAGGAATCCACCTCCCAGGAAAAACAGAAAAAGCGAGGTCTCGGAGTGTGGAGATCCTAGGACTGCGGGGGAAGAAGGGTGAAGGGAGACTATTCAAAGCCGGGGACGGGTACGAAATCAAAGTCAAGGTCCCATGTACGTGTCTGAGTGACACAGGGCACGCAGGGGCCTCGCGGGCACCCAGGCTGAGAATGTAAGTAGCATCAGTTCAAGATGGGCCCTGCGCTGGTATTCAGAGTTTGGACTTGATCTGGTGGACAAGAAGGAATCCTCAAAGGTTTCTGAGCGGCAGTGAGATCCTGAGAGGTCTTTCAGGAAACAAGCTGGCAACAGGGCAAAGATGAGCGCTGGGGGCAGCCAGAAGGCAGGAGGGGCAGGTGCAAGGTTTGAAGAGGACAGGCTAAATTCCTGAGGCTCATTCGAGGCCAGTGGAAAGAGGAAGGGAAGGGCGGGGAAGGGATGGTCAAGGGAGGAGGCCAATAGGACCAGGCACGGCTTGCCTGGGAGAGAAGGGAGTAAGAGATAGCGGAGGTTTGCCGGCCTGTGGCCAGCAGCTGGGAGGTGTATTGCCTTATCATAGGGCGGGGGAACTGAGGGGGCGAGCTTGGGCAGGGCTAAGAGAGCCCCACAACAGGCCGGAGTGAACTAGCACTGGCTTTGCAAGGCGGGCTGGCCGGGGGCTCTGGATTGGTTGTCTACCCTCCTGACTTGCACACTAAGGAGGGGGTGGGGGAGCGGAGGCTCTCCCCAGGGCCACAGGACAGCAACAGGCGCTGAGCAGCACCAGGCCTCTGGCCTGCCTCGGGGGCACCGAGATGAGCTCGGCTTTAGGGATCAAGGAATGAAGGTGGTCAGCACAGGAGAGCGGGGCTATATGAAAGGGGGCGGAAATGCAGAACTAGTGCTCTGGAAAGCGACAACAGTAAGCAGCAGAGGTGTGTGTGAGCACACCTGAGATGGCGTGGTGACAGAGGGCATGACCCCAGGGACATGAGAGGACAAGGGAAGAAGGTACAAGGACATGGGAGCTGAAGCCCCGGGGAGGGTCAATAACGCAGACTGTAGGCTGGACAAAGGCCCCTCATACAGCAACCCACCTCCCACCCCAGTGTCCCCACCTGTATGCACAAGGTCCTAGAAACCCAGACTTCCAAAGCGCCCAGGCACACACAGTGGTGCTCAAAGAAGAGCAGGCCCACGCCAAGAGATTCACCACTGTGCAAAGGGAGAACTTCAAGGGTCCTTCTAACAGCAAATTCCACCAGTACATTTAAAATAATGCAATTCCAAAAAGTTCCAAGGACATGCAGCCTCCCAGGAACAGACGTGGTACTCAGAAAGGGGAAGGTCACTGCCGGCCCCTCACACCCACACAGGCTGCTAACCCGCTCTCCCCTTGTCCATTAGGCCCCAGGGCAGTGGGAACCACCAGACCAGAAGCCAGGAGTCTGGGCCCTCGGCCCTCCCAGAATAAAGAGCCCCTCATCCTGCCCAGCCAGTAAGGCTCCCAGCGCTCTAAACAGAAGGTGACAGGCCTCTTCACAGCGTCTTCCGGCCACACAGCACCCACAGCCTCAGCCCTGAACCAGTCACCTTACCCCTTCTGCTCCCACCCTCCCAATCCCAGCCCCAAACGCGCCAATGGGGTTAGGGCTACTCTGTCTTATCAGCAAGAACCCAGGTCCTGCCCTCTGTCCTCTGCCTAGCACAGTCCCAGTTGGCCCCTTTCCACCCAGTGGCCCCTTTGGGCTGCTATCTCCCCACTCACCCCCCACCTGTCCCACAAGCCCCTCCGGGAATGAGCTGCACCCCAAGTCTGCGCACTGGCAGAGCCGAGCACAGGGAGATGGCTTGGTGGCTGGGGACCGGGAAGCCAGTCCCTGCAGGTGTTCCCTGGCAAGCATCCTCACCTTCCTGTCATGGGCGTCCAAGATGCTGTGGCGAGACACATCGACCAGTTCTCCCTCCAGCAGGACGCCATTTCCCCTGGGGATGAGAGAGAAAGAAGGGATCCGCTGCTTCTGTCAGTTGTCAGGGAAGAACCACAAGTTCAATGGCCCAGGTCCAGGTCGGAGCCTGCACTGGGACCGCAGCAGGGCCCACAAGTGTCTCCTAGTCGCCTGGCCCTCAAGCAGGCCTGGTACTGAACAGGTCCTCCATTCCTCGGAGGGCCCCAAAGGCTGGGACGCAGTGCAGAGGGTGGGGGGACAGCCTCAGGCTGCAAGACCAAGCTGCGGCCCCTCGTGCAAGGGTTTACTGTAATGCACAGCCTCAGTCTTCCTAGCTAGAAAATGGGAGAGTAACAGCCACCTCACTCTGCTTCTGTGATGACCACAGCATAAGATCGTGTAAGTGAAGGTGTTTATAGACTATTAAGTGCTTACTAAATATAAAGGATTTTACTTTTTTATTAAGCCAAATTTGAGGGAGAGGTCTAAGCTGCTATAGAGTATCTTTCTTTTTCACCTGTTTGGGTTTTTTTTCCCCCCCACCTCTCTTAAAGCACTTTCTATTCTTCTCCTCGCTCGTATCCACCTAGAGGTGGGAAAACCCAAGCTTAGAAGTTCCATGACTAGCCCAAGAGGAACTAGATTGCCGCTTCCCTCTTCTAGTTTTCATAAAAGAACCGGAGGCTTCCCTTTTTAGAGCCACAGAAATGGGAGAGGGATGGGGACACGAAAGGATGGGGATGAAAACGGAAACTCGCTCTACTTTACTTACCCTACCCATCGCCTCACCTGCAAATTCTTGCGTTTCTAACTGCAAATGGAAGGGTCCATTTGTTCTCATAACCCCCAGTGCGGGTGACGACAGCCACCCCCTCCCCATCCGGAGCCCACACGCGCCACCAGGCAGGCACGGCCCTCCCACGGCCACGCCAACTACCCCGCGCTCCTGGGGTCCCTGCACTACGTCCTCCCTTCAGGGGCGGGAAGTGGGGCGGCCTGTGCCAAGGCCTGCAGGCAGGGCGCGGAGGCCAGTAGCTAGAGTTCACAGCCGCAGCCCGGGAGGGGTTGAGACAAAGGTCGGTGCTTTGGAGCGCCGGGAAGGGTACGGGGGGCAGCGGGGAGTTTTAAGCTGATCTGTGTTTTAGGGGGTGCGCTCCGGCTGCAAGGCGGAGGGGAGCGCCGGGGTGCGAGTCGTGGGGTAGCTACGGCCATGTCTGCCTTTTCTACTCCCCGCACCCGGATCGCAGTCCCCTCCCCAATCCCGGAGCCCGGGTTCCACGCCGGGGAGGCGGGGGCAGAGCGGCCTACCCCTGGTGGGCGGCGGGGTCCCAGGCCCCCGGCAGCCGCGCGCTCCGCACCGCCTTGTTCCGGAGGGCGCAGTCGTGGTAGATGCGGCTCATGACGCGCACGGCCGCTGCGCCCGCAGGCCTGGCGCTTCCGGGCTGCGCGCGGGGTCTCGGGCGTGACGCGGGGGAGCGCGGGGGGCGCGCGCCGGGCGGCGATTCCCAGGCGCGGATCCGGGAAGGGTGCGGTCTGGCCCCGGCTAGCCCTGGCGGGACTTAAAGGAGCCGAGCCCCATTCCTGCCGCGGGACGGCGCGCGCGGGGAGGTGGGCTTCCGGGAAGACCCACAGTTGGGGCCTCTTTGTGGGCGGGGAGGGGAGCCAAGTTCTCTTTCCCTGCCTTCCTTGTTCCTATAGGGAGACCCCGTCCCAACGCACGTCCCAACAAAGGGGAAATTGAGGCCCAGAGATCCTACAGGATCAGCTCTGGAAGGAGCAGGAATGGAGTAAAGGGCACAGTCTTCAGGGATGGCGGGATGGTCAGCGCAGAAGGGGCTCTTCGTGCTCTGCCCAAGGTCCCACAGTGGCTGGGGAAGGGGTTCCAGGGATCTGTGCTTGGGTGTCATACTGAGGTTTGAATCCCAGCTGCGTGAGCATGAGCAAGTGTCTCGACCTCTCTGAGCCCATTCTTCTTTTTCTACGGGGTCGGTATCCCAGGGGTGGTACGGGTTCGGCTTCGTAAACTCACTCTAGCACAGAGCATTTCCCCTCTCTGCCTTCCCGTACCGCTCTTGAACCCCTCCCCAGCGCCCTACTCCCCCCTGCCCAAGAATGTAAGAGCAGAGAGGGGCATTTTCCAAGCCTGGGGGCAGGAGTCTGTTCTGACCCAGGGATTGCTGGAGAGCCTGGGTTCTCTTAGACCCGTTCATGGAATTCATCTGTGGCCTCTGGGGGAGCATTCAATAGGGGGGTGGTCTGGGAGATACGTGGGAGTCCAAGATGAGCTCAATGGTGGAGGAAGCACCCTTTCCCCCCAACGCACATTAAGACTTTGGTGGGTCCTAAGCCCTTTTGTTTTCAAGGGCTCCTTCCCTGATTTAAAAAAAAAAAAAAAAAAAAATTAATATATTTTACGTGTGGGTTGACATAAAGATGAATATATTAATATTATATATTAAAACATTTTCTTCAGCCTAAAAATTCCTTTTTTCTTCTACTTTTTTAAAGAAACTAAAACATTTTCATGGGTCCTAGGCACTGTGTCAAACGGATTAGTTAGCTCCCCTCCTTCCTCCTCAGTCTGGCCTACTTGGCTGTTCCAGAAAGTCTGAGAGAGAAGGACAAGAACACTAGTGGGCTCTGAGCAGAACTATCTCTGGGCTTTCTCTATTCAAAACTCCCCTGGCTGATATAAGGAACTCCTACAACTTAATAGCAAAACCCCAAATAACCCAATTAAAAGATGGGCAAAGGAACTGTATCGATATTTCTCCAAAGGAGACATACACATGGTGAACAGGTACATGAAAATCTGCTCTGCATCACTAATCCTCAGGGAAATGCAAACCAAAACCACAATGAGGTATCATCTCACACCTGTTAGGAGGGCTGGTATCAAAAAGACAAAAGATAAGTATTAGCAATTGATACACTGTTGGTAGGAATGTAAACTGGTATAGCCACTGTGGAAAACAATAGAATTTTTTCAAGAAATTAAAAATAGAACTACCATATTATCCAGCAATCACACGTCTGGGTGTACATCCAAAGGAACTGAAACCAGGATCTCAAACGGATGCCTGCCCTCCCATGTTCCTTGCTGCGTTGTTCACAATAGCCAAGACGGGGAAGCCATCTAAATGTTCACCAATGGATAGATGGGGGGAAATGTGGCATGCACATACAATGGACTATTACTCAGCCTTTTAAAAAAGAAGGAAGTCCTGCCATTTGCAACAACAAGGATGAACCCGGAAGTGAAAGAAATCAGACAACTGGACGACAACAGTGCATGATCTCATTTACATGGGGGATCTAAAATAGTCACACTCACAGAAGCAGAGAATAGAATAGTGGTTGTCAGGGGCTGGGGGGAGCGGGAAATGGGGGAGGCAGAAGTCAAAGGGTGCAAAGTTTCAGGTATACAAGATGAATAAAGACCTAGAGATTCTATTGCACAGTGTAGTGCCTATAGTGAAGATTGATTTGTATATTTAAAAATTTACTATAAGGGTAAATTTTTTAAAAAAATTTTAAAAGATTTTATTTATTTATTTGACAGAGAGAGATCACAAGTAGGCAGAGAGGCAGGCAGAGAGAGAGGAGGAAGCAGGTTCCGTACTGAGCAGAGAGCCTGATACAGGGCTCCATCCCAGGACCCTGGGATCAAGACCTGAGCCGAAGACAGCTGCTTAACCGACTGAGCCATGCAGGCATCCCTAAGAGGGTAAATCTTATGTTAAGTGTTCTTATAAGACACATAAAAAAATAATAGTAATAAATAATAATAGTAATAAATAAACTTTTGGAGACAATGGGTATGTTTATGGCATAGATCATGGTGAATAGTTTTTTGGGTGTGTACTTATTGCCAAACTCATCAAGTTGTATGCATTAGATATGTACAACAATTTGTACGTCAATTATACCTCAATAAAATAGTTTGAAAAACAGACAAAAGGGGCACCTGGGTGGCTCAGTGTGTTAAAGCCTCTGCCTTCAGCTTGGGTCATGGTCTCATGGGATCGAGTCCCGCATCGGGCTCTCTGCTCAGCGGAGAACCTGTTTCCTCCTCTCTCTCTGCCTGCCTTTCTGCCTACTTGTGATCTCTGTCTGTCAAATAAATAAATAAAATATTTTTTTAAAAAAATGAACAAACAAACAAGCAAAAAACCTCAGGCTGGTTGCAGCCACGTGGATGGCGTGCCCCCCATCTCCTCCCCTTTCTATCAACTTCCAACTCTAGTGGCTTCAAATCTCCACTCGTTACGTGGCAGCTACCAGCTACATGTGGCTATTTTAATTTTAGTTTTAATTCATTAAACCTAAGTCGAATTCAACTATTCAGTCTCACCAGGCACATTTCAAGGGCTTCATAGCTAGCAACATGTGGCTAGTGGCTACCACCTTGGACAGAACAGACACAGGACACTTCCTTCATTGCAGAAAGTTCGATGGAACAGAGCTGCTGTAAATCCTTTCTTGGGAAGAGGAATCTCTTGCTTTCTGGGGTCCATCAGTACCCCATTAGTACAACTGGTAGACCAGGCACCAGCAAGACAAGAAGCTAAAAAAACAAGAAGACATTTTTTTAAAGGTTTTGGTATTTCCTAAAGAACACCAATCATCATGGGGAAAAGACCAGAACCATGTTGGACTTCCTTACACCTATTTGTAGGTGATTGATGTTTCTACATTAAATTATAAACCATGAGGTACAACATGGAGACAGCTTAAGCTTTGGGCCCCTCAGTTCAACAGCCCCTTTAAAGGACAGGGTTGAGGACCCCAAATAATGTTTCATAGGGGCATATGCTTTTACAGATTTTTCACAGGGCAGTTTTGGGTACAGTCAGTTAAGACCAATATCTTTTTTCTTTAAGATTTTATTTATTTATTTGAGAGAGAGAGTGTGTGTGTGTGTGTGCACGCACAAGTGGGGGGCGGGGGTGGGTGGAGGGAGAAGCGGGACTCGATCCCAGGACCCCAGAATCACGACTTTTGCTGAAAGCAGATGCTTCACCAACTGAGCCCCCTCAAGACCAATATCTTTTTTTTTTTTTTTTTTGGCCTGAATTTTCCCTCGCCTCATGTCAGATGATATTGGAAAGGACTGGAAGGAGAGAACGGTTGACATGAGATATGTTTAGTTTGGGTTTTGTGGGATAGATTTACGGGGTCTATAGTCTTTCCCGCTATCATTCAGTTTTTGCAAGCTGTCCTGGTACAGGAGGGCCCCACCAGCCTCTGGGCCGACTCACCCAGGGGAGGGCTCGAAGGGGCAGAACAAGGGGTCCCATCGCAGCAGAAATGTGTGCCGCAGCGCCTCGCACTGAGCCCACATGGGGAGAGGAGAAGGAACAAACTGTAGAACATGAAGAATGAGAAGCTGGTGCACAGAAGCTCCTCCCACTCACCAGACAGGGGAAACCATAAGCAGAGGACTGGGTCTTATTAACCCTAGTCAAGATGGAAGTTTTCTCAGGAATGTTCTCGCTAACGCCACCCATGTCTGTAAACCCACGACCCTTTTGTCCTATTTGGTGTGCATGGGGCAAAATTGAATTCACCAGGATTTCTGTACAGCAGAAATAGACAACAGTAAAACCGGCGAGAAGCGCCCATGTGTGTGGTCTCAGGCTTTATGCATCACAACACATCTTAGCATATCTGACACATCTTGTCTTGACAAAGTCTGCTGGTTCCGGAAGAAAGAGAGTGATGCAGTGAAATCACCTGAAGAAAACACATACACAACGCAGAGCAAAAGATGCAAAACAAAAGAAGCAGCGAAGAGAGAAAGCGTAATATAAAATAAGATGCCAGAAGGAGAACTAAAGCTATCCATCACATTACATCAATAAATGCAAATAGGACAAGCCTTGTTGGGAAAGAAAATCTATGGTGTGCCTTTGTATCAGACATCTCTTCATGCCACATCAGAGCCTCTGGTCCTCACACGCCTCCAGGGCCTTTGACCCGTCCTGTCCTGGCCTCTCGGTGATGACCCACCCTGCTTGGGTACCAACACACTTCACACAGCAACAATCCTCCATGCCTCGCCTCGAGGCCGCATCTCAACACTTGCCTCCAAAGACCATTGGTCCCAAGGGTGGCCCTTAGGAGAAGACTCTGGGTGTAGGATTGTGACATTGAATTGCCTATAGGTCTGTTGGCAAGAAGGACGCTTGTTATGGAAAGTGGGTGGCGGTCACCGTCGGCACAAAGAGGCATCAGATTTCCTGGGGTTTTCATCTGTGGTTCAACGGGGCGCAGTGTGGGTAGGAGGTGACATTCAGCTGGGAGATGGAATGTCTGTGGCATGGGATGGGTCTGGGGGCGAAGAGAATTATGAGAAAGATGGAATGGGCCAGCTTTGTATGAGCAACAATGGAAAACCCGCCGGAAAGAAGATGAGAGGCTCGGGGTAGCCCACAGCCGACCTCAGGATCTGTAAGTGCCCCGGGGAGCTGTACGGTAGCCTTTAAGGAGACTCTTGTCTCCTGCAGCTCCGGGGCAAACTGCT